GTGTAGGGATGCGTCCAGAGCTGGATCGCAGAGACACTGGGTGGGTAAGCATGGATGTGTGTATATGCACCTGACACAACAGTTTAGCCTCAAAAAGCTACACTAGTTTGATTTAAAAAAAACAACCCAACTCTCAGAAAAACAGCTTTGAAGGCATTGTTTCTTTTTTCTTTGGTTTCAAATGTGACTTTAAATAGTAAACCTATGGTAAGAGCTTCAATGCAACTCTGGACTTGGGTGGTATCTCAGGGATCCAAATTAAGCCTCTTCTGCACAGTGGGTTCAAAACATTGTCTAAAAATGGGACACTTCTATCCCAGCAAAACTGCTCTCTCACCAGCATCTGCAGATCTTACGTATCCTATTCTCTCAGTCTTTGAACTGACAAAGTATTTCTGATTTAGGTGTTGTTAACTTCCTTAATCCTAACCCCTTCTTCCACATTTTGCACTTCTGGCAGATGGTGTGGGGAATACAGGAATAGTCCTAGGGCAGATCATGAAACACTTTCTATACTCTTTTAGTGTAGAATTTGTATACATCATGGTGGATAAGAATCCAGGGAAGCAGATAAAACAAACAATTAAAACCCCCCAAAAAAAACAAAAGAGGAAAACAGGAGAAAGATTTTTTAATATAGTTCTAGAAAAAAACAACCAAATAAGATGACTGAAGATTTTAGGCTAAAGAACCCATACAACATCTTCTATAACTGATGCTACAGCAGCCAGATTTCATTTTCTCAAATGGCACAGCAAGAACACTAGCAAGAATTACAGTACTATGAGGCACAGAAAGTTCAAAGCAAGTTAAGGAAGTATCCGATGAATGAGCAAAGACAGTCACATCTAATGATGTGGGAAAAAAAGAATAATTTATGTAAGGAGAAGATGGAGACACATAAAAGTGTTCTTAACAGATCTGAAAATATGTTGAAGAAAGTTACAGCAGGGCCAGATGCTGGACATAATTTTATAACTATATGCCATTTCCATGTTCTTTAAAGACTATGAAGTCAGTGTAGCTATAGTATAAGGAAGTACTTTTTGCCATTCCAGGAATGGGAAGGCAGTGATATTCTATGATGTGGGTTCACAAACCCAGGTTACCACAGAGCCATCATTTGGTCACAAAGTTCCCTAATATTCTATGGTCAAATTCCATTTCCCATTTTAAAAGCCAATAGGATGTTTTTTTTCCTTTGAAAATGATTTGCTGAAAATTCAGACACATAGGAAAAACGTTATGCTCAAATTCAACACTTGCCCTTAAAGCGTAACTCCATCTTAAGGACAGTAAAATAACACTTTCATTGAGCCTGTGATACAGCATTGATCTGCACATACATAATTCATCTGCTTGGGACTATTACAACTCCAAATAACATGTAGGCTTTCAAACGCTTTCGGATAACTGGGAGCACTGCAGTAAGAGCCAGCAGTTCTCTTCCATTTCTCCTACATTCTCCTGCAGGAAGCGGGGACAAGATTTAAGCCCACAATGAGAAAAGCCAGGTGGGAACCATTGTGAGAAGAGACATGCAACATGTTGCAATGAAGACGTATCAGCACATACTGGTATCATTCAGATCAGTATGATATCACGATACGACGATAATGATTCTTGTGCACTGTCAGGATACCACACCAGGAAAAACACTGGAGAAACAACTACATATTTTGGGATCTTTTAACAATACAGCCCTTCATAGCTTGATGATCTTACAGTTTCTAATACTGACTGAGTTTGGGTGTTTGCAGCAATGTGGTAACATTTTAAACTGGCTGAAGTTTATAAAGCCAATGCTATGACAAATAAGTATGTCACACGGGTCATACTTGCTCAGTTAAGTACTTGGCCACACAATGGATCTTATAAGCATGCTGCTGTTAGCAGCCAGCAAAGGTTACATCTGTATTATGAACAGATCAGTATCTTTTCTTTTGGAGAGGCTTTATAGGATCAGAGGATAATTCAAGTTGGAAGGGACCTCAAGGGTTCTCTTGCTCCTAATCAAAGCAGGTTCAGTTACGATGTCTGATCGGGTTACTCCGTTTGGTCTTGAATTCCCCAAGGATGAAGACCGTGCAACCTCTCTGGGCAACTTTTTCCAATGCCAGGCTGTCCTCATAGAGAAAAGTTTTCTCTTATGTCCAATCTGAGTCTTTCGTGTTTCAGCTGCTCATTATCTCTTATCCTTTTGCCATGTGCAACCATTCAGAGCCTGGCTCCATCTGCCTGACAGCTTCAACACAGGTACTGGAAAGCTACTAGCTTCCCTTGAAGCCATCTCTTCTTCAGGCTGGACAAGTCCAGCTTCTGCAGCTTCTTCTCATGGATTATGTACTCAAGCCTCCAGCTATCTCAGTGGGGCCCCGCTGAACTCACTCTGGTTTACCAATGTCTTTCTTGTACTGGAGGTTCCCAAACTGGGTATAGAAAACTAGATGCATTCCAATGAATGCTGAAGAGAGGGAGATACTTGCTTCCCTGGGTGTGTTAGCTGTGCTCCTGTTAATGCAGCCCAGGAAGCTGTTGTCCTTCTTTTCTGCCAGGAGACACTGCTGGCTCAAATACAGCTTGCTGTTTGATATGAACCCAGCTCCTTTCCAGCAGAGGAGCTCCATCACCAGTCAGTCCCCAGACTGTACTGCTGCAAAGGTACCTTTTACTTTTGCCTGAAATATGCTATAATGGCTTGTGTCAGTGGCTTTCTACGATAAACAGTCAAGGAAAAATACTATTCAACTGATGTACTATAAATGATCTCAGGGAATATGAACTGTAACTTTAAACATTTTAACCACACAGTCTTCTTTATTAATGGGTAGAGATAGCTTAAACAGATGAAGCAATAAGAAAAAGGCTATTGATACCAGAATTTCTAATATCAGAGAGCAGGGCCTAACTAATCCTACTGCATACATCATACAAGCAGCAAAGAACACCTAAATGCACGAAATTGTCAGCTAGCATAAAATAATGAAGTACCGCTTTCTTTGCATCAAAGACAGGAAACAAAGTGACATTAGCGAAGCTGGTACTGACTGGGACACACAACTCTACAAGACTGCTGCAGTAGCTGCTCTTAGTAACTTAACTCATTTTAGCACCATAATTTTGAGCACACAGATGACTACCATACATCTGCCATTCCTCTACTTATGTCCTGCACAAAAAAAGACCTAAACACTTACTGCAGGATGAACACTTGTATACTATATGCATCATTCATTCCTGACACACAGTTTTCTCCCCTTTTTTATGGCATGAGAAATTCTCATCAACAGACTCACATGGTGTTTAATACTGAGGTTCTTGACCTAGGAAAATATGAAAATGACCATGTTTTCTTGTCACAGGTATTGATTTTAACTTCATGTTTTATGGAATTTACAAGGATTCTGATGTCTGACTCTACTAAAAATGGCATGCAGAAGCAGCTTTACTTGACATTGCCTAATCTCACTTACTAAGGTTTTCTATTTGCTGGGCAGGTTTGGCTCAGAAACAGTAACTGGATCCATATTCTTCCTAGTTAATAAAGTTTAGTCAGGCTGTATTCAAAACCAGGCAGCAATTTAGGTCTCTCTGATCTTCTCAAGCAGCCTGATAATCTTGTGTACAGTTTGGTACTGACCACCAAGCCAATCCGATCCACTCACCTCTGTCAGCAAAAATAAATGTGAAACACCTCTGCCCCCCATTTATGACACACTTGCAACATAATTTGACAACAGCAGGTATAATACACAAGTATGGTCACGCACTAGAAAACACAGAAAAGCTAACTGCTCTCTCAGTTTAAACCTCTGAAATTTAAGTTCTAACCATACATCTATTATAGTAAGTCTAGGATTTCTATTAAATTTACTGGAGGACAGAATATAGTCCACTGAGAAATCCTGCTGGACTTAGCAAAAGACAGTTTCGATGGGTATTGATAAACTCGGGTACCTCCAGCCACAGGAGAGACTCTGAGTTTCAAGAAAGGCCAGGAAGAAACAGCAACCTTTTAACTTAAAGACCTTAATCATAACTTATGATCTGGAATGTTGCATCATTTTCCAAGCCTGAAATTTCTGGTGAGGAAGTAGAATAAACTAGTTAATGCAATAGAGGACAATGGCTGCAGGTGTAATTTATTTGGTTTAGAGCAGAATGGGGATAGAATATGACTAGAAAAATATAGGCTTTCAAATAATATATTTGAGCTTCCAAATTCGAGTAGCTGAAAAAGTCAATACTTTACTGAATTAGATACAAGACAACTATACTGGGTCAGTGAGAGTATGATGGATTTTTGGTCTAACAGATGTCAAAATATGATGTCCTGGTAGAGTTCAAGAAGATAGGAGGCATTCATGATACATCCTTCAATAAATTCCCAGACTTTCTTAGTAATAGTTTCTATGTATTTATTAACTCTCAACAGATTTCTCTTCCATGAAGTTGTCCAATTTTCCCTTCAAGCAGGAAGTTCCACTGGTTGATTATCACGTGAAGAATCAGATAATTTAGCTTTTTTTAAAAAAACATATGGGGTTTTTTACAGAATCACAGAAGGAACCTCTGGAGATCATCTAGTCCAAGCCCCCTGCTGAAGCAGGTTCATGTACAGCAGGTTGCACAGGATAACATCCAGGCAGGTTTTGAATATCTTTAGAGAAGGAGACTCCACAACCTCTCTGCGCAGCCTGTGCCAGTGCTCTGTCATCCTTAAAGTAAAGCTTTTCCTCATGTTGAGCTTGAACTTCCCATGTTCCAGTTTGTGCCTGTTGCCCCTTGTCCTGTTGCTGGACACCACTGAAAAGAGTCTGGCTCCATCCTCTTGACACCCACCCTTTAGATACTTATAAGCATTGATAAGATCCCTTCTCTGTCTTCTCCAGGCTAAACAGACCCAAGTCTCTCAGCCTTTCCTCATAAGAGAGGTGCTCCAGTCCCCTAATCATCTTCGTAGCCCTCCACTGGTCCATCCTCAGTAGTTCCTTGTCTTTCTTGAACTGGGAAGCCCAGAACCAGACACAGAATTCCAGATGCGGCCTCAGCAGGGCAGAGTAGAGCGGGAGGATAACCTCCCTCAACCTGCTGACCACTCTTTTCGTAAAACACCCCAGGATACCATTGTCCTTGGCCACAAGGGCACATTGCTGGCTCATGGTTAACTTCTTATCCACCAGGACTCCCAGGTCCTTCTCTACAGGGCTGCTTTCCAGCAGGTCACCCCCTAACCTGTACTGGTGCATGGGATTATTCCTCCTTAGGTGCAGGACTCTGCATTTGCCTTTGCTGAGCTTCGTTAGGTTTCTCTCTGCCCAACTCTCCAGTCTGTGGAGATCTCACTGAACAGCAGCACAGCCTTCTGGTGTATCAGCCACTCCTCTCCATTTTGTATTATCAGCAAACTTATGGAGGGTACACTTTGTCCCTTCATCCAGGTGAAGATGAGTATGTTGAACAAGACTGGACCCAGTACTGATTCCTGGGGAACACCACTAGCCACACGCCTATTTTAGTTTTAATTTTATTTCATTTATTCAGAAAGACAGAGAAGCGGGAACTCCTAGGTTAACTTGATGTGATCCTGGTGATTAGCTACAGTTCATTTTCCCCAACTTGTTCCATATATTCATTCCATGCAGTTCACCTTTTTACTCATCACACATCAAATATTCTACATTTTAAAAGTGGAAAATTTGGAGCTGCCATAAAAGCATATAGAGCATATATCACAACACAATTCACTTTCCACTGTCTTCAACACGACGTTGGGGTTATATGGGTCTCCTCCCCTGAGTTTATTCAATAAAAGGAGGACTTGTGTACAGAGGCTGCCGTGTATCTCCACTCACAGCCAGCCCACAAATGGCATTGCCAAGACACAGCCAGAGCTAACAGCAGTGTGCGTACCTCTGCTGTGCTGCCTGGGCATCTTTGTATCACTCTTGTCAGGTAAGCAGAAGCTTACTAGGTGCAACGCCAAACATTAGGGTCCTCCTGGTATTTGTTACCAAAGCTCATAAACCTCATGAAATTGGAAGCATGATGCAGAGATATCCACGTGCGTCTGCAGAAGCCAGCCTTGGTCCAGTCAAACACGTTTTCCTCAAGCTCCATGCTCTCAGCGCTATAGAGTAAGAGAGCTCCTACATTGCCAATAACAGGAACAGAGAACAGGCTGGGTCAACCTGGCTTTGCAGGTGTTTAGTTCTCTACTGACCCCCACTGAAAAGACCTTATTTGTATAGCACTGTGCCTGGGTTTAAATGCAAACAGTCAGTATAGTTGATTCTGCATGAAGTGGTATCAGAAATCTTTCTGTTCAAGGCACAGATCGAGCAAAATCCAGATGAAGTAGTCATTGCTGAGAGGTAACTGCAATAACTGACTACATTAAAAAATGCAAATAAAGACAAATAACTTGCATTCCATTAAGAATATAGCCCCTAAAATAATTATTCCAGCTTCTCATGCATTGCCTGTAATCTCCTATACAGATCACATCATTTCCCAGTGTTTCCCCATATAAGAAGAGCAGATAACACACCTTCCTTTCTCCTACTCATTATATGAATACGTTACTTAAAACTACTGTCCTTGAACCAGCATTCAGAAACAAGAGTATGAAATATTAGACCTGGTCAGGTCTCCATGTGCAACTGTAAGATAATTTTTATCCACCTCAAGACAGAGAAATGTAAAAATATGCAAAGATGTTCTATCAAAGAATTAACCCTTCAGTTGTGTTGTACTCCAAATAAATGCAAAGATTAGGAAAGAAACGACACCTTGTGATTGCAGATTCTAGCATAGAAAAACTATATAAAGACTTGTTTAAATAAAAAAGGAGTGTATATAAATCTTTGGTAATGGCACATTTAAAATGTTTGCAAGGCTTAGTCTCAAAAGAGATTCCTTCAAGATAATTAAGCAAGCATCAGTCATCTAATGAAATTAATTTAAAATTAACGTAGCTCCTTGAAATGCATTTCTGTGAATTTAGCATAATTAGTTTGTTTAAAGCTCAGGCTTAAGAAAGAAATCCTGAAATTAGTTCTAGTTAAATCCAATGCCTGATTTTGCATAAGGGTCTTTTTACAACTCCTACGGAATCCCTGCTATGGAGATTCATATTCAAAAATAAAGAGATTCTACGTTACAAGAGAGTTCTCAGAAAACACAGTAGGACGACTTAGGATAAGAACAATGCAACTTTGTGCATCTCTGTTGCTCTTTGCTCAGTATGTAAAATCCATTCAAGGTATTTCCCATCTATTCTGCACTATTGCTTTACTCTTGATGCTGTTACTCTCGACATGCTGTAGTGAAAATCACAATGTTACTTCAGTGAATAGGGGCAGAACAGCTATCGTGTTAAAATTGGCTATTTAAAAACCCAAACAGATAATCAGCGTCTTCACTTTCCACTCCATCACTTTTTGTGTACAGATTCTCCATTTCTTGCAAAAACACAGACTGGTTGATATGTGAAAAATTCTTCTGAGAGAAAGAGAAAGCCCCTTCTTGACCACTGGTTGTGGCAGGTTAAGAAGTAAATGAACAAGTAATTTCCTACTTTCTGATCAAAACTGTTCTAGCTCTATGGCCAAACAGCGATTGCTCTGGAAAGGATCAAGGATAGATGCTTAGGTCACCTAAGCAATCCACAGTGGCACAACACTCATGCACTTCAGGTGAGGATCTTGTACTAGATGAAGTGCAGTTCAAAGGCACTGGTAAATATCTCACTTATCTCTTTAGGTTCTCATAGTATAATCACAGCACAAATGCGACCTCATGTTAAACATACCGTAGGCAACCATACCTTTAAGAGTTTTTCTCTTTGCTTTGCTACGTTCAGTTTTTCAGAGAGCTGACTGAAAGATAAGTTGCAGGTTTCAATGTCTTCATGCATCAAAACATAGGGATGCACATTACCTTAAAAAAAAAATAAGCAGCTGATTGTCAATGCCTTTTTCCCCAGCCAGCTTCTAAGTACAACCAAGATTAAAAGAAGCTAGGGTTATGTTAACTTGTCTATTTTCTTTGAGCAAGTCTTCATATTAAACAAGTAAGAGAAGCCCAATTCTGCGCTTAGAGACAATGCAAGACTAAATTAGCAATAAAGAACATACATGTACTCTTAAAACTAAAAGCTAACCACTTTGCTAGTATTTATGAAAACCAGGAGTGTTAGGCTAGTGTGAATAAATATTTAATGAGCACGGCAGATTAACACATGGCTACTTTGACTCCTTTCTCTTATTTGTGTAATACAGTCAAACAGTGGAAAATTATCCATCAATGACTACTTGATTTGAAAGAGAATTACCTGCTTATAAAGCTTTGGCTATCCAGTAAGATTAACATCACAAGACTCGACTAACACAAAAGACATACAACATAGCACTCACATCTAGAACAACCTATAAGCTAAACTTATTAACAGACAATTGTAGAATTAGTATCTAACAACTTTGGTTTTAATTCTAGTGAGTTATTTGAACCCATATTTTCGTAACTTTTATTGCCTTCAGTGTAAGCAGGTTATACATGTAAAGAAAATCTCACCATTTCTTGAAAAGGATAAAGAGCGACCTCCTAAGTGTGGCATTTTATAAATAGATTTTTGAAACTGCACATTTGTGTTAAATCTCACGTTCACAGAAAAGTATGATACTGCCATGAGAGATGTATATTGTAAAAACTGAAGCAACATAGTCAGAACTATTCATCAGCGCAACACAGCATAAAAAGAAGTAACGTGCAAACTGGAGTACATACCTCTATTAGCATTCAGAGCAGCTAACTGTGATTTCAGTTTTGCAATAATGCTGTTTTGAAGCTCTATCTTTTCCTGCTGTTCATGAATTTGCTGCATGTAGATTTCTGTCTGCAAATATAATTTAGTTAGCCTTAATTTTATTCCAATTTGACTAGGGGTCTCCTATTCTGCATATAAAAAGCAGCTCTGTTTTTTAAAGATAATTGTAGTGTGGACCTCTGTGTGAAAACTCAACTGCAGCCACCTTTGGCAAGTCGATGTTTTTGAGACTGCACTGATTAGAAAAGGTATTACAGGAAATAAATCCTGGACAACTTTTAAGTTAGGATTCTTCATTCATAGCCATAAAACACATCAAGTTCAAAATAAGAATTTTAGTATTCTTCAGAATGCTGGTCAGCTTATCTATAAAAAGATGTAATTTTCTTACCCTATGTTTTCTATGAAAAATGATATAAGAATAGGCTTTTAAAAAGATAGATTTTAAATGGAAAACACCAATACTGCTTTTTCCATACAACAGATATTTTGTAAATAACTTTAATTGCCCATGAACAGTTTTGCCTGTTCCTTTGAACGTAGCAGACTTTTTTCCCAACCTAGAAAACGAGGGGGGCAAAGCAAGCAAGCAGCCCCATTCTTCATCTAGCTATACTCCATCTCACGGTATAAACAGGCCATCCAGAGCCTAGTAAGACTGCTCGCATTTCAAGCAAGTGTACAAATCTTGTTATACAGCCGGTTAATTGAACAAATGGTCAGGTGGCAGGAAGTTGCTAATATTCAAAACCTATTATTTCATTAGCATGTGCCTAATGGTGCAGTTACAGCAGTGCTAAAAACAAGCAACAAAACTTGTGAAGTCCCAGCATGGAAACTTACAGGAATGCACTGAATTTTTCTGAAATTATGAATATGTCTATGACTGAACAGGTCACGACCTTGGACAAGACCAGGCATTGTTTTCCACACTGCTATCTAATTCTCAAATCTCAGTCACATTTAAATTCCACACACCACTACTGCCCAATGTGTCTGTCTGTAAAGCAGGCAGGAAAAAATCTACAAGCGATATTTATTTTAAAAGGCCAGGTAGTAGTTGTACTATGAGAGTTTATCTAAAAAAAATAAATAATAAAAAAAAAAGTGATCAAAGAGCAGTACACTCCAGCAGCTATAAGAGACCTCATGAAGCAGAAAAATCACTGAGAACCAAATTGAAAATGTACAACAGCAATGTCTTGTCAACACTTCTGTACAGAGCACAGACATGACAGCTAAAACAGACAGAAGAGAAGATGCTTTTGACAGCCAGTGTGCACAAATTATTCCTTGAGTCAGATGGCAGCAACAAGTTACCAACTAGAAGATCTGCATGACAACCAACCATCCATCTGTATCAAACACCATCTGGCCGAGATGACTCTGGCTTCTGTGTGCTTGACATGGCTCCCAGCTCTAGAGACTGGCAAAACAAGTGGCCTATCGGTAACTTAAGTAGTAAACTGTTAAAAACAGAATGGTGGACAATCCAACAATGTGTGAAGGCCACACAATGAACAGAGGAAGTTACTAGGGTAAAGCCCTGTAAAAAGGTCATTCAAAAACCAGGAGTTTGGTTTAAAACCCTGAAAAACAACAAAAATAAAAAACCCCAACTAATTATAGTATCAGATCTTCTTGAAAAAATACTTCTGTTCTCTCCTGAAGTAATGAAATCCAACTACTGAAAATCTGATTAGGACAAAGACTTGAACTGGTAGTAATCCTTTATGAAAGGCTTTCGTTAAGTTTCTGAACCAGAGAAAAACGCAGAGAGAAATCTTGCAAGCATTTAGTTCACTTAACACTGATGATCTCACACACTTCTCTGGTTTTCTTCCATAGACACTAGAAGGGACTATCTGACCTTGTATTTGATGTCTTTCTCCTTGGGAGGAATTTTCTTTCACGTACTGTTAGACAACCCAGTATTATTAACTTGACTGGTTTTATGATGACCAAATAATTATTTGAAGGAAGAGACAGAATATAAAAGATTTCCAAACATTCTAAAATGTGCTGCCTTTTGTTAAGCTTGTTGCAATTTCAGCACAAAATGCATTAACAGACTACTTGTGCTTGTTAAGTACAGCAAACACTAAAGATTTGCACCAGGACTGCTGCAACAGACTATGTATGAAGAGAGCCTGCACAGTGGATGACTGCACACATGGCTGACTTGATGCCTCTTATGCAGTGCCTTGGCTCATCTACTTTGCCATGCAAGGGGATGGTAAGATTGTGCCCAGATATCAGAATATTCTCTAGCAGACCTTTCCGTGCTCCCAGTTCTACTGCTGCTTCCATAACTCAACACCAAGTGTGGTTCATCTGTCCCTAAACAAAGTCCCAGGCTACCAGTTCTAGGGAAGTATGAGCAAGTTCTACAGCATCAAAAACATGCAAGTCTTCCTATAACAGAGGTTTCATTGCTGGGCAGAATACGCACAATAAAATTAGTACTACAAAGGCCAAAAGTGATAGATTTGCAATATGCTGGCATACATGATGAGTCCTAGAAGAGTTTTGGCTGATGTAATGTTTTCTACAAGAGACTAAGTAAAAATTCAAAGGTACTCCTTACTGGTCAGAATGCCTCCAGAATCTTTCTGTTACTTCATAATTAAAGAATAATTGTACAGATAGTTATTTTTTAAAAAAAACAATACTTATTTGAATAACTTTAAGGTAAGTTTGATGTAAATGTTTCAACACACAAACTCTGTTGTCCTAATACCCTGGACAGTGCTTAACATATTATATAGTCTTTGACCTTTACATCAAGTAAAGTAGTAATTCATATGACACATCTTCCCATCGACACAAAAATTATTTCATTTAAGCTATTTAAATTAATAATTTTAAAAGTAATTTTTTAATAAAGAAAATTAAATTTCAAGAGGTACTTCATTAAAGCTAGGTAAATTTTATATACTTCATTAATCACCACCACTTTTATCACCTTTAAAAGTATAAAAAATTGAAAGGTTGAAAACCTGAAACCCACCTACTACATTCAGAGCCTAATGAGTTACTTTGCAGTGTACTGATCTGGTTTCATAACGGCAATTTCCAACTTTAACAGATGCCCTGAAGTGCACAGAGCTAAAGTGAAACTGAAATATATGTGTACTGCAATCCCCCATGGGAAGGATGGCTTTAAAGAGACAGCCCAGAACCCAACACATACTTTTTGCTGTAGTTCTTTCACAGCATGGTCCCTATCCATGCATGCTTGTCGATAGGCTTCATAAGCTTTGTTAAGCTGCTCTCCAATGTTTTTGTCCATAATTCCCAACGTTGTCTCATCACTGAAAAGATGGTCAAGTTAACAGACCTGAAAAGTAATCAGAAGGAAAAGGAGAGAATGCTAAGAAACAGAAGTATGTAACTAAAGACATATAAACATGACTGCAATAATATAAAATTCAAGTAGTATGTGTAGTATATTTGAGCATTAACTCGCATAAGAGTTTGAACTATAGCTGGGCTCACCTCAACAACTTATTTTTATGTCCATGGATAGGTTTAAAAAAAAGCCAAATAAAAGCAGGTTAACTCTGAATAAAATTCTGGATGTACAGAATGTGTAAACTTATGTGTAGTTACAGTGTTTGAGGACTGGGACTTAAAACTGGTGCAAACCACCAGTTATCTGATTTTATGACATTTCCAAAAGTTAATGTTTACTCAATTGTGAAAAGGCAGCATGAAAAACCAAAACAAGTCTCAGCTTCTGGCATTAAGCAATAAAAAGACAGAAGCTCAGTAACATTAGGTCACACGGGCCTATCCTATTCTATGCCATATTTTGCAAATGGCAACACAAGCAACACTACAAGGCGAATTAAAACATCTTTTATCTAAAAATCAGTAACACCAGTCAGAAAGAATTAGCAAGACTCGGACCTTTTAACACAGAACCATCAACTTTTTACTTTGTAAACAATTTCAACAACAATTCTTGAAGCTACAGCTCATCAGCTTTGACCCACAAGACTACAACACTATTACTGCCACAGACTCCAAGACGGAGGGAACTTTGCAAACACAGGTCCTTTGCTTCCATAGTAACATGACATGAAGTTTTAAGGTCAATAATTATAATGTAAGTACAGTAGAGGACAGGTTAGTGAAGTCTCAAGAACGTACCAGCATTAAGGAAAAAAATAATCAGTAATTCACATCTCCTCTTCTGATATTTGAAGTGTGGTTACCTCACACGGAATGGAGAATGGACAGCCACTATCACCTCTCACTAACTTCTGGGATTATGCATAAACCACAGCTCTTAGTAAGGAAAGTGGTGCAGTCAGAAAAGGATAAGCCAAGCAAGAAGGGTATGAGGATAACTTAGATTCTGGTCAAAATTCCAAGGATTACAGCTTGAAGCTTTTGTTCATTTCTTGCTCTTGAATATCTTCCATATCATAGAGCCTGAATATAGAAATGTGGTTTGACTTTCCTAGAAGGCGCACCAGACTGCTCTATGGATGTCGCACCTTTTTGTCCTGCAAACTTTATTGTAATTATGTGTGCATATTGCAAAAGCAACTGCATCTCAAGTCCGGCATGGCCGTACTTCATCAGTGCAAACTGAGTTTGTTCTTTAACAGCTTGGAATCATTTAGGGATCCTTTGATGTAACATGTAACAAGTGCTACTGAAATCCAAATGTCTCAGTTTTGCGTGAAACACCTACATTGCTTCATATGAAAGTTTTTTGGGGTTTTTTTGCGTGTGTGTTGGGGTTTTTGGGGTTGGTTTTTTTTGTGTGTGTGTGTGTTTTGTTTTATTTGGTTTTTTTTTCTTTCTCTTCTCTAGTTCAGTAGTTTATAACCTCAGGTCTATGTACACTGCCTCAAAACATTGTAACACAGGCTACTTCATCCATCCTCTTTTCCCCCCAAAGAGTATCCCTCCAGTAACTGGAATATTCATTCTCATACCTGGGGCACATAATTTAATAAACAAGTAGGCTTTCTTTCCCAGTTTCAAATGAAGGACTGTTTTATGTAGTTCAATGAATAAAATCAGATACTATAGCTGACTGCAGGGGTGTTAAACTGCAGAAGAGTACTCTTATGGCTGAAAGTGATTGAAAGTATGCTCTCACATTCTTCAAAAACTTGCCAAGTTTGCATCAATATTGATTTCGTACTTTTCTGGAATTCTCCAGAGATACTTGTAACAATTTACCTACTAAATGGCAGTGTCCTATACATAGAAAAGGTAACTTCAAAAAATGAATGGAATGGAATTTAAGATTATGTTCAGCTTCAAACAGAGGGAGTAGGGTTCAGCTCCATATGACTCACAGTTCATAGAAAATGAAGGCATTTATTTCAAATCTCAGTTTGAAAAATAGTATTTAAAATTTATACCTAAGCTCCAGCCTTTTACTCACTGAGACTGTGAGTATTAACAAAGAGTTCTGCTCTTATCTGGACTGCTGGTACCAGAAGTAACTGATCAACAGGCAGAATTGTAGCATTGCACCTGAAAGGAACAGGTTTCCTGATTTTCTGGTAGCTCCCTAAAATCCAGACTCCATGCAGTAAGAAAGGGGCAATAAAAATAATTACTAGTGACATTTTAAGATGGAACTGTAACTAGAATTGGTCCTATATTCTCCCTTATCTTGGATGCTCATTTCTGCTTCCACCTCACCTTTCCCTTTCTTCCAGCCTTACTGTAAACTGCATCAGCAAACCAATCCAACTTAAAATTAAATGCTAAAGGTATTTTTTTCTGTGTTCGTTTTAGTGCAGATCAGCTCCACAGACCACTTCAAAAGATATCCCAAGGAAGCCAGTAGAGGAGCTGGAAACACCAGCGAAAGGCAGACAGAACTCCTGTGTTCAATGGCAGCACTGGCTTCAAAATCGCCACATGAAGTCAAGGTTATGTAACTGTGATGTAAGGCTGCACTGCCACAGAAAAGGACACTCCTACCTTCGCCATCTCTGGCCATGTATTTTTGCCACCTACTTGAGCCAATATTAGCATCTGTATGCTACACACTTGAGTATGCCAAAGTAGCTCCCTACTTCCCCCAAAAAAGCAGCAACAAACCCCCTGAAAAAATACACCGCAAAATTTAAACTGGAGCTAGTTCACTGCAAGGCTGCCGGAGCACTACTACCAACACAGGGAGGCAGTGGGAACATGAGACCAGCCGTGGGCAGGACTGCAGCAGCCTAGATTTAGATTGGATTAAACTACTCTGTAGTCACACCCTGAACTGCTTGCTCCTGGAATAAATAACTGCTTCTTATGTTATCTAGCTCATATCCAGAACTCCTTGCAGTTAGAAAAACTGGCTCCTTTTCCTGCATCAATATTTATCAGGGAATTTGCCAACTGTTCCTTGTTCCATTTACTTTTCTCCCTACATCCAGCTAGGAGGTAAAAACCCCAACCCAACAACCATAAAATCAAATCAAATCAAATCAAATCAAATCAAATCAAATCAAATCAAATCCTCAGTCCCTGAAACAAATATCCCCACTATTTTAATCAGGCATAGTTTTGCTGTATCCATACAGCAACTGAAACATATTCAGAGCAAAGCTGGCAACCCTGATCTTTAGCAGCTGACATTCTAGACGTTCATTAGATCCTAAAGATTTTCATAATTATTAAGAACAATACGTAGCCAGAACAGATGTAGCAATACAAAATGCTGCATTTATTCTAACAGCAACAGAATTAGAGAATGAGATTAGCTCCAGTTCGCCTGGTAAGGGACTCTCCAGACTGGAGTACCTGTGAGTGTTGTGTTGCCAAAGCTATGGCAATGAGAATTCAATCTTTGAGTAAACACTTGAACACTGGAAGACAACTGGGTATAGCAAATGTTGTAAGACAAACTTTTAATTAAACAAACCCAATGAAACCTGCAGACACTCTTAAAATACTTGCTTCAAATGAGAAACATTTTGCCAATATAGGTGGGGAAAAAAACTCAGCCGCAGTAATATGAATTTTCTATGAGCTGAATGCCAAAAAAAGCCCTGACACAAAGATTAGCAACATACTGCTGCATACATCCTGAAATCCCAGCTCCACAGATCACCAAATGCACATTCTGAGCCTTCACAGTGCCTCAGCAAACACCTTAAATTCTGAAAAGGTTTCAGATAATCATGTGTATACACACATTCATTCATAATACACAGGCCTACTTCTCATAAGTTCACATGAGAACATAGATACCATCCAGAAGCAAGTACTTCTCTACATATGTCCGCTTTCAAAACAGCTACTTCAGTGGAAATATTTAGTAAGTTACACTGCCATAATCTTGGGAACTGGAAACCTGTTGAGGTAATCATCTGTGAGAGACTGATAGCTCACTGCACTTTCGTTTTGGATTTGTTTTGTTGTGTTTGTTCCCCCCCGCCCCCCCTACTTTTTAATCTAACGGACAAAATTCCCGCTTTGCCCGATTGCGGGAAGAGTCGGAAACTCAGCAGGAGCCCTTAATGCCACAGCAGGGTGACAGATGATTTTGTTGACTACTGGGGAGCTGTGACTGTCCGTAAGACAGCGCATCTCCTTCTGCTCCTCCGCTCGCCACCGCCACCCGCAAGCGAGCCCGCTCTCCCCGCTTCCGCGGCCCGCCCGGCGCGGCAGGGGCGGCGGCGCCCGTTCT